CTTTTTGTTAAACTAATTAACAAGAATATACAGGATAAATCTTAGCCAAGAATAATTAACTCTAGACTAAACATCAGAGAATATTGGATAGGAAAACAAGATCTATTTAAGCTCGTGAACTTTCCAGATTTACAGAAGATATCAAATATAAATAATATGCTTACATTCATCATGTATTATCTCGTGATATAGGAACAAAAGAGGAATAGGGGGAATGTCATTGATAGTTGCAAGATCTATCTTTATTGATTCGACAAAGGCCATTACAAAGATGTGTCGCCGAGACCTGCAACTTCTCATGTTTTCCTTCCATAGCTTTTTCAGGTTCTTCTGCCTTTTTCTCTGTAGGAATGAGACCCCCCTTTTCTGTCTTGTTTCCTCCTATATATATCATCCGCATTCCCTTTTGTCCAATGGTCCTTAACCGGAAGACTTCTCTCTCTTCATCTCGCTTTATGTCGCTCCCCTAAGTGTCGCGGCATTTACTTTGTCGTACAAGCTTTTTGAAGGCTCGATCTCGGCAATGGCCGAGATACTCGCCATCATCACGTCTTGTGAGTACGACCATGGCTTAGTCCACCTCTTATCGTTCCCTTTAGCGCTAATCCGCGCGTTGTCAGATTTTGACACATACAAAGACCAAGCTATTTATAAATCAATTAATAAAAGTTGGATTTTACGTATAAAAAAATTGAAAATCCATAGCTTATTTGTGGTTAGAATTGAGTGGTAATATTTGTTAAGCTTATAATTGATTATCCCTAATGATTTAGAATGGCTTGGTTGAAGAAAATTGACGAACACGTTGTTGGATTTATTGAGCTTGAAAAACATTTGTTGAAGAAGACAAAGAGAGTCTACTGATTTTTGAAAGTTTTGGTTTAATTTAACCAATGGAAATTGTTATATTGGCATTAGAAGGTTGAATATCAAATTTTGAAGTCATTTGGAGTTAATTTGGACTAAGTTAGATTAAATTTAAAACAGAAAAAGTGTTGGTAAAATTTTCATACATACGTAAGTTTTGACGCTTCGTCAGATTTTGTGAATATTTTATATCAATTTAAACAACTTATAGATGGGAAAATCAAAGAATATTCACATTATTGGTAGACCGATTAATACTCATAACTTTAAAAAAAAAAAAAAAATAAAAAAGAGAGAGAGAGNAAAGAGAGAGAGAGAGAGAGAGAGAGAGAGAGAGAGAGAGAGAGAGAGAGAGAGAGAGAGAGAGAGAGAGAGAGAGTTATTAGTAGTCACTGTCATGAAGTTTTAAATTTCATAGGTGAAAACTCTAGACATTGATGTGGAATATTATCTGTAGAATTTGAAATTCAGACAACGGCTATTTCTCAAATACATGAACTGAAAAATGACGATTTGTGAATCTTATCCTTTCACATTGAGTTCCTTTTTAAGGTGATAATAATTAATTAGATGTGTCAATAATAATAATATATCTGTTACCTGAAAGCCCTGGAACTCCAAATGGACCTTATACTATTTATGGGGGTATTTACATCTATACCCGTTTTTTGGGTCACGTTTTAACTTATACCCGCTTTGTAAAAAAAATTGCAAACGTACCCACTTTTTCGCGTAACTTAAGCATACGGGCCTGAAGTAGCAAAGGCATGGGGCATTTGCATCTACACCCGCTTTTTGGGTCACGTTTAAACTTGTACCCGCTTTGAAAAAAAAATTGCAAGCGTACCCACTTTTTCGCGTAACTTCAGCATACGGGCCTGAAGTAGCAAAAATTGCTGAACCAAGTAAGCTGAAGTTTTTGTTTGTAATTGCTGAACTTAAGCATCCTAGTGCTGAAGTTTTGTTCTCTATTTGCTGAAGTTTTTATTTGTAATTGCTGAACTTAAGCATTCTAGTAGCTGAAGTTTTGTGATGCTGAAGTTATTTAGTTCATTTGTAAAAACTTCAGCACTAAATATGCTGAAGCTTTTTTGTCATGGATTCATTAGTTTTGTCATTAAGCTTTTTCAAAAACTTCAGCAGAATTTGCTGAAGTTATTTAGTTCATTTGTAAAAACTTCAACACTAAATAAGTTGAAGTCTTTTTGTCCTGGATCCATTAGTTTTGTCATAAAGCTTTTTCAAAAACTTCAGCAGAAGATACTGAAGTTATTTAGTTCATTTGAAAAAACTTCAGCACTAAATAAGCTGAAGTTTTTTTGTCCTGGATTCATTAGTTTTGTCATAAAGCTTTTTCAAAAACTTCAGCAGAAGATGCTGAAGTTATTTAGTTCATTTGTAAAAACTTCAGCACTATATAAGCTGAAGTTTTTGAAAAAGCTTTCTAACATACTAGATAAATAATCACCTTATTCTTTCATAGTGTATTAGTACTATAAAATAACCAGATTGCCAACAGTATCTAAATCATAAATTTTGGAAACAATAAACATGAAAAGAACAGAATTGTCATGAAAAGAATCACTAAGTGTGACCTTAAACTTCCCGTACGTGGAAATATTCACAAATTATTGTCTACTAACTTACGTAATTATTTATAATTTGTTTTTAAATAATCTGATAAACATACTTATGGCAATCATCCCATGAACTGAAGTTTCATAGCAGCACCAACAGCAGCAGAAGAAAGAAGAAGAAGAGGAAGAAGAAAACGAAGGAGGAGAAGGAGGAGGAGAAAGGGGGCTGAAGTTATTTAAAAAGTGGGTATAAGTTTAAAAAATTAAAAAAAAATAGGTATAGGTTAAATGGGGGCGATCAAATAGGGCGCACCGTGCAATTTTCACTATTTATGGCTGTAGGATGAAGTGGGCCGCTGAAGTGTGTATGGTCTACAAGTGAAAATAGCACGGGCTAGTCCGGATAAAAAACATAAATAGACAAAATTCAAGAAAAATATTCACTAACATAGTTGCAGTAGGTATTTTACATACAAGGCAACTAAATAATTATATTTTTTGCAGAAAGTTTTAAACCCTTACCAACAATCACGCATCTAAAGTATTTATTTCCTTAAATATAAAACCTAAGGGTTTCAGCTTCCCATATAATAATGGAATTGTTATTAACTATGATTTTATTGGTACTTTCTCTCTATTTTAATTATGTTAACGTTTTATTTGGTGGTATAAATATGAATGCTTGTATAATAGTGCATACTTGATGAATAAAGTGCTCTTTATAATATTTACCTATTATACATATTATATAATTTGTATAATACATTAATATTTATTTACTTAATAAGTATATTATGAAGTATAAATTATATATTATTAGTATAAAATATTATTTATTTGGATATACATAGTATATAATTCTTTTTCTCAATATGATAAATATATATATTCGGAATATTACATTTTATAATATAAAATATACCACATATTCATTGTATAAATATTATATATTTAGAGCACATTGTAGTTGTTTAAATATTATATAATGCAAGTATTATATATGAAGTATAGAAATGACTCATGAATGCCGCACGTTTAAAGCCTTTCATTTTATTTAGTGATTGAATTTTGTGGTAGGGAGAGAAAATAGTGAAAAGGAAGAGAAAATCATGGCATAAAGAATTTTTAAATTTATTATGACAAATTTATATTAAAGAGGGGATTATTTTTTAGATATTCTTCTTTTAGAATCTTTGGTATATTTGGATAAGTGTTATTTATGGAAGAGAAGAAAAAAATTATGGAAGAGAAAGGGAAAATGAAATGTAATAAAAGTGTATTGATGTAGAGGGATCCCTTAGTTAATGAGTTACCAATGTGTAAGTGCAAAAAAAAGTGTAAAAAAAATGTGCCAGTTTTGGAATAAACAAAGATTACTATCATTTATGAGAATAATTTTTAAAAAGGGATATAAAAATCTCAATTGAGAAATAATCAGCGTTTGCAAAGTCATTGGTTCCAGTCCACTATTTTGTTGCAATACCTAAAGTTCCAGCATAATATACTGGAGATTCTTGCACCTGTGTTTGAACTTCCAGCACATTATGCTTGAACTCCAGCAACGGAAAATTCCATCATAATATACTGGAGATTGGAGCACCTATGTATAAACTTACTCAAGCACACAGAAAGTTCCAGCATAATATACTGGAGAGTGGAGCACCTGTGTATGAACTTCCAGCATATTATGCTTGAACTCCAGTATATACTACTGGAACTCCAGTATATTATGTTGGAACTCTAGCATATTATGTTGGAACTCCAGTGTATTATGCTGGAAGATCACACGTAAAAAATTCGAGCTCCAGTATATTATGATGAAATATTTTTCGAATTTTGAACAGTATTTTCGTTCAGATTTATCTTTACATGAAAAGTGGCTAAATTTCGATCACTTTTGAAACTGTGGCTATTTTTCAATTAACGCTTGTAAATTTGGTTATTTTTTAATTTCACCCGGTCTACAAACCAATGCCCCGAGATGAAAAATTCATCCAAATAGCCGTCCACCGAACTACTTAAACTACAAATATAATCTCTATATATGGCTATAAAAAGTAATCAACCAATATGGCCGGTTATTCGTGTGAAGATCACCGGAGATTCGGCTCTTCTATCAAGTGTTGTAGGTCTTGCGGCCCTTCCCTCAATACCACATCGACGCTTCAATAGGCAAAACTTTGGATCTTGGTCAGAAGACATAAAGCTAATAAAAAATATTTAGACCAATTCATACGTACTGGAGTAAATAAATCGGACAGACGGGGTAATCCGATTTCAAAAGCAAGTGAAGCAGACATTATTGCAATTAAAACAAGAGTATTATAAGTAATCCTAAATTACTTAGGATTTGGTATTTGCTAGTCTCTTTTAACTCATATCTAAATAGGTTTTGTAGTAAACATAATATGGGATTAGGTTTAATTTCCTAGTTTGTAATCAAAACTGATTTTTCCCTTATTATAAATACTGTAGGCGTAATGCTAGCTAGCTACTGGATTTTCAGATTGAGAGGTAAGTGAGATAAGTTAATTTCTCGCTGGAAAATTAACCAAGATGGCCTCCGCCTGCATATCAACTAATTGCGTTAACGAAATTGCCAAAGCACCAGTAAGAGTAACATACGTGAACCTGTATAAATGGCCAGACTCTGATGCTGAGTTCATAAAATCAGTCGTCAGCCCAAGGATAAACAACCACAATAGCAACATTGAGTGCAGTCATCCCAATAATCCAAAGGTGCTGGATAGCATTTCATATAGGAATTATACTTAAGAAGCTACCCGTTTTCAAGAGAAGACAGCGTGCGCGTTGATGATGAGAAAATTAAGATGGCTAGAGCACCTGTAAGAGCAACATATGTAAACCTCTATAAATGGCCAGAATCTGACGTTGAGTTCATAAAATCAATCAGCTCAAAAATAAACCAGAATAGCAATATTGGGTGCTCATTTCATACAGGCAATTATACTTAAGAAGCTACCCATTTTCAAAAGAAGATCAGAGCGTTTGTGAAAAAATAGTACTGAAATACTATGAAATAAAACGAAAAGCTCGTAATACTGGTGATAATTCAAGTGGTGCTCAGAGTCGCAGTACTAAAGATTATATAAATGGATTTAGAAAGGCTAAGGAGATATCATGCACTGCTTTGTTTTCCATTTTTCGTAGGTTATTATCTTGCACAGTCAAGGTTGATGTGGTTGATTAAGACACTAAATTAGTAATTTAAAGATTTTTTCTTCATCTTCTTATTAATTTTCTTATTTCTTTTTGTCGATTTTCTCTTTTCTACTTAGGTTTTTGAGTTCTTTTCTCAAACGACTAGCTTGTTGTTGGCATTTATGGAACCCATTATGGTAATGTATGCATTGATCAGATTTAATACAAGGATATTGTCATTTTTGTGGTAGCAATATGTTAATTTGATCAAGCAAATTTACACTTTTCTTGCGTAAGATTTTGGTGATTTTAAAGCTTGTTTTTGTCCCAAATTAATATTTTATTTCCATTATTTTTAAGGAGGGTCGTCATATATAGTGTATGCACGCAAAATTTGCATTAATATATATAAAATATGCTGGTCGCTTGCTCTTGTGTAGTTCTATTTTTCCTAGTTGCTTGTAAGTTTGAATTTACAAATAATGATAACGATCTGACGATTGTTGAATCATAAAAGTTCCCTAACAATTGTGATTTATGTTAGTACTTGGCTAAATAGGGTTGTTCACCGTAACCGTTAACCAAATACACTACTAGAAATCCGGTAAAAAGCGACCACAAAAAGCGACCAAAGTTGGTCGCTTATAGGCCTAAAAGCGACCAAAAAGCGACCAAACATGCCTGGTCGCTATATTGCTGGTCCCTTTACTTTAGGGACCAAAGTTGATCGCTAAATAGCGACCAACTTTGGTCTCAAAGGTAAAAGGACCAAATATTCCGGGTATTGACTATAGCGACCAACTTTGGTCGCTCTATTATTTTAATAATATAATTTTGGCGACCAAAGTTGGTCTCTTTATGTAAATTACGTTTTTTTTATTTATTATTAATCATAAAATAGCGACCAACTTTGGTCTGCAAGAAAAATATTATATTTTAAAATCTGGAAAATAGATACCAAAGTTGGTCGCTATACTATAAATATTTTTAATTTTTTTTTAAAATTATCGACCAAGGTTGGTCGCTAACTTCATGAATTAATTTTTTTTTTAGTATTAAGCGACCAACTTTGGTCGCTATTTTCCAGAAATTGTTAATTTTCTGGGAAATAGCGACCAAAGTTGGTCGCTTTTTGTGAATTCTGGGTTATATAGCGACCAACCTTGGTCGCTATTTCCCAGAAAATTATTTTTTTTTAATAGAGAAGCGACCAAATAGCGACCAAAGTTGGTCGCTTTTTTGGTATATTGCTGGCAGGAACTGCCTGTTTTGGCAGCTACACCACCTGCCAGCTTACCAAAATTCCTAAATAGGCATTTTATGCCAACAACAACAACAACAAGCAACAACAACTAAAAAGCAACAACAACAACAACAACAACAACAACAACAACAATACAATAACAACATTATAATGAACAAAGTATAAAGTTCAATAGAACTTTATACTTTAAGCTAACCAAACTAATAAGTTAACTGTTATTACAAAACCATTCGAAAACCGATTGTATTTGTCTAGTATAAACTAATAAGTTCAAAGATTGTTCTGTACATCATTATCATCACTGTCTGATGAACTTTCTTCACCATGACGGTATCCAGAATGGGCTATTTGTGGAGGATGGGAAGAACGATCACGGGGAGGACGGGAGGAACGAGCACGGGGAATGCGAGCCTCTGGCGATGACTCACGAGACCGGGGAATCGGAAAACTGCCAGAAGCTAGGAGAGATTTGATCTGCTCTTGCATGCCCTTGTACTGAGCTTGCATGCCAGAGTACTGCATATCTCTAAGC